AGAGCACTGACTGCTCTTCCAGAGGACCCAGGTTCAATTCCCAGCACCCACATGGCAGTTCACAACTGTCTGAAGACCCAGTTCCAGGGGATCTGACACCTTCATACCAATGTACATAAAATAAAAAGTTAAATAAACCATAAGAAATATTTAAAAAAAGAGAGAGAGAATGCTTTCTAGGATGCTGATTGGAGAGAGGGCAGCCTGGACCACTTGTTGTAGGATATTTGTACACTGTACAAAAAATGTATTGCTGTGATTGGTGTAATAAAAAGTTGAATGGCCTATTGGCAGGAGGTATAGGCGGGACTTCCAGGCAGAGAGAGAATTCTGGGAAGGAGAAGGCAGAGTTACCAGTCAGAAGCAGAGAAAGCCGCATGAGTTATGCGACGGAACGTAGACTAGAATAAATAGGTTAATTTAAGTTATGAGAGCGAGTGGGACATGCCTAAGCTGAGGCCGAGCTTTCATAATTAATAATAAGTCTCCATGTCATTATTTGTGAGCTGGTGGACCAAAAAAAAAAAAAATCCAACTACATCACAGGATTAGTTCTGTTGATCCTCTCTCTCCTGGGAAGCAGGGAGGGCTCAACCTAAGGCTTCTGAGCCCTGACCCAGCCTAAACAGCCATGGAGATGGGACGGGGAGATGGGCTCTAAGAAAGGGCTAACAGGAAGGTAGGAATGGTTACGTGACCTTTCAGAGCCTTTCAAACAGGCCCCATCATCAGATGATGCCTGTGTTATACAGAACATCAAGGGGCTCCTCCTACACTCTGCAAGCCTAGTGTTCTGGGCACACACACCACCAACTGAATGGGCCTTCACAGACCACAGCGCAGAAGGACAGGCCGGGAGGATCACGAGGGGAAATTCGGTCTCAAGCAGAGAAGAGTCTTGAGACACAGAAGACATTTTAAAAGGACAGAACCAGGAACTTTTCAAAAGTGGGCAAACCTAAGCGGGTCCCCATGGGAATGACCTCCCACCAACCCTGGGATCCTTGCTTCAGCTCCTCCCCAGGGCAGAGCAGGGTTTAGCTGTGCTGGCATCTCCCGGAGTCCAGGACACTGCCGGTGCTCAGCAGGCACCTCCCGGAGTGAGGCCAGTAGGTTTGAGCAAAGCAGCATGCTGCCTTCCACTGGGCAGGCTGCGCGTGTCAGGACCCGTGCCAAGCACTTTACATACATAATTTCAATAATCCTCTCCGGAGTCTGGGAGATGGGCCCCGCTATTCTTCCTGTCATGTGGATACAGATACAGGCTTAAGAAGGCCGTAGCTTGCCCTATGGTGTGTCCTTGGTAAGGGCAGTAGCCAGTTTTCCCAGCCCGGCTCTCAGCACCCATCCTTAGGGCTCTCGACTACTTGCCTCTGAAGACTCAGGAACAGACAGAGCTTCAGAGTCTCATGCCGGGCTGAGGTCACATCAAGGAGGGAGGTCAGTAAGCAGACAAGAGGCAACCAAAGCAGGGGGCCAGCACAGGGGCCACTCAGGCAGCCTTGACTCTGAATGCCTGCTCCAGGCCGGAGGACGGGCAGCTGGTTCGTGCCAAGGGCCTTGTTCTCTGCATTCAATGGGGTTTTGTTGACTGCATTTTGCAGGTCTACAGATTTAATTCCAATCTGGTTCATACACTGTTTCCAGAGCTTTTTAGCGGGATGCTTCTGGGGCTGGGGGACATTAATAGCCCTTTTGCTTTGCCCAAATAAAGGGACTCTGCCTGACTTCAGTAGGCCGTGGCAGCAGCTTTGTTTTGTTTTTTTAAACGGGCCAGGCTGCAAGGCCTAATTCCTGCTCTTGTCCCCACATTACGGCCCTGAAGTTTGCAGGGCAAAAGAACTCCAATTTTGTGCTCTTCTTAGAAGTGCAGGTTTCACAGGCTTCCAGCTGGTTTCAGGAGTCTGCAGGAATGCTCCCCCACACCCACTCAAAATGTCCCAGTCTTCCTTCCCTCTACTGACCATCAGGTGAGGTCACAAGGACCCCTCCATCCTGAGGACTCCCAAGAACTGTCAATAGGAATGAGAGGTCTCATGAGAAACCCTAGATGCAGAGTGAACTGGACTTCCCACTTCAAGGGACTTTTTGATCACAGACAGAGCCCACTATCCCTAAGCCTCAGGTCCTTGGAGGGTGGGAGGGCTTGGATGTGAATTCAGTTCAGGTGGCGGCAAAAGGGGTATGGTCTCCATTCTGTGCAATCCCTGGGAAGTCTGTCTCGGAAGGCTGAAGGGCTCCAGGCCAGGCACCCCATGGTCACCACGAGCCTGCCAAGAATGGGCACACTGCCAGGAACATCTAACGAGCCCCCAGGGATGAGACAGGAAACTGTCTCAGGGCAGACTCAAAGGGTGAGCCTGTTCGGTCACCAGGGCATTCCCCATTTGGGACTCTAGCCACAGAACCTGCCTATACATGGGAGAAGAGGGAGTGGAAGCAGGGACGAAGGGTACTGTGGAGGCCCAGGAAGGTGGAGCACTGTGGTAGCATGGCAGCTCAGTCAAATGTGGAGAGACACCCAGTGTTCAGGAGGCTGGCCATTGCTGAAACACTGCAGGTCGTGATGAGGATTAGAAATGGTCCCACTAACCTGACAGAATTAGCCCACAAAACACAGTTCTTGGTCTGCAGGCCCTTTCAACCCCTCAGCTGAATCTCTGTACAGTGCACAAGACATCCCTTGCCCACCTGTGGCAGCCCAAAAAATCATGGAAGCTGGCCAGGTCCTGGAACTGTGGAGTTAACCAAGGGCTGATGTTCTCCCAGGAAGTAGGGCCTCTTCCTCTTTCAGGTCTTCCCACCACTTCCTGAGACATAAGACCCGCTCTGTTTGGTGTGGCCCAAAGAGTTCTCCCAGGGCAATTACCCCCACCTTGTAGGCCCTGCATTTTTTCCTAAAGCTGAGAGGGTCTAAGGGTCTAGGGCAATGGTTCTCAATATGTGGATCTTGACCCCTTTGGGGGTTGAAAGACCCTTTCACAGGGGTCACCTAAGACCATCAGAAAACGCAGATCTTATGATTGATAACAGTAGCAAAATTACAGTTGTGATGAGGCAATGATAATCATTTTATGGTTGGGGTCACCAGGAGGGAACTGTACTAAAGCATCACGGTATTAGGAAGGTTGAGAACCGCTGGTCTAGGGAGACACAGAAGGACAGAACCAGCAACGGGCATGGCTCAGAGGTAACTTGACTAAAGCAAGACGGGTCCCATGCCTAGTTCAGAAGGAAAAAAGGGTCAGAGTGGTATAGCAAGACAGTTCATCCGGAAAAGGCATTCTCCACCAAGCCTGATGACCTGAGTTCAACAGCTGAGATCCACATGGCTGCAGGAGAACTTTGCCAGCTACCCTCTGACCTTGCTGACCTCCCACATGTGTTGCGTGTGCCTGCACACTCCCACACAAACTAAATATTTAAAAGTAGCAGAGCAGCGATCCTAAATTCCGATTTCAGTCCTTCCTCGCCCCAAGAACAGAACTCCCAAGGGGCTGCAGTGGAACTAAAACTCTGGAACCATCTCCACCCCATGGAGAACCGCCCAGCTCCAAGCAGGACTGGTCCAAGTTTAGCATAACAAGAATGACAGCAAACACCGGCAGAGAGGTTTCTGTACCAAGCCCTATCCTAAGGACTTTGCAACAAGTAATGGGTTGAGCCTTGAGCAAGGTGCTAATATCCCTATTTTACAGATGAGGAAATCAAGGCAGAGAAACTGTTTACTCAAGGTCACATGGGAACTAAATGGCCAAGGCAGAATTTGAACTTGGAGCACCAGTAATGTTTCCGATAAGAGATTCAGATCCTGTTAGGGGCCTTATAATTGAAGAGTTGGTTCTACACTTTTGCAAATGGGATGCTTTCAGGGGTGGGGATGCAATAAAGAGAAGGAAGTCTGGTGGAGTTCTAGTGTGTAACCTCTAATTTACGCACATTCTGTCCTAACTCACACGTGACTGCTTGCAAGTTAGAGGGGTCTGACCAAACAGTATCTGTTGGCGCCTATGTGCCTGATGCCCACAATGCACCAACTTTCATTAATTTCCCAAGATGGCTTTGCAAGGTCGCCTGAGCCACCTTTGCAGAGGAGGAAACTGGAGTACAGGCAATAGGGGTTACTTGATGGGCTTTAGACCCAAGTCCAGCCAGGAGAAGGTGGTGGCAGAGGCAGGTGGATCTCTGCAAGTTCGAGGCCAGCCTGGTCTACAGAGTGAATTCCAGGACAGTCAGGGCTACACAGAGAAACGCTGTCTCAAAGTCTCGAAAAAACAAAAACAAAACAAAAAAGACTCAAGTCTCTAAATTTCCAAAACTTGAGGGCCCCAGGAGAAGGGTCAGGGACAATCAGACCAAGGGGAAGAGAGAGAGAAAGAGAGACAGAGACAGGGACAGAGAGAGGAGGGGTGAAAACACAGGCAGTCAGAGACTAATAAAAAGCGACAGGAAAGGAATCCGGTCAACCAGGATAATAATACTCTCAGGTCCCTCTAGTTAGGGTCCTGCAGGGTCTTCGGAATGTAAGTTTCCAAGTCCAGGTGTGTGTGTGTGGGTACCCTCCAGGTCGGTCAATCAGAAATGGCAGGGAGAAAAGACCTGGCACCCACCCGCCCCGCTCCAGGCACCAGGCTTCTGCCTGAGTTTAGAGAGCGGCCAGCAGCAGTCCTCTCAGCCCCGTGTCGTGGGTGGCTCCCTGGTTGGCTCTGATCAGCATCAAAGACAAGTACATGAGTAGGCAGGATGGCCAGCACCTGAGGCCCCCAGACAGTGCTGAGTGTACCCCCTCCTAGGAGACCAGCAGCAGCAACGGTGAGAGAGAGTGGCCCTCTCCAGGTCCACAGAAAATGGAAGAAAGGGGCTCTCGACTCCCTAGCTTCCCTTCCCTCTCGCTTTGACCACAGCATTTTGAAAAGGGAAGGGGTCTTACTGGAACTGAACCGCTCCTTTGTCGTGGCCACCCGCGCTCCCCTCCCTCGGCTGCGCCCCACAGCACTCACCCAGCGGCACACTGATCCGGGGGCCAAGCGCCCGTGTCGTCCGCAGCAGCGGCAGCACCAGCAGCACCAGCAGCGCGCGCAGCAGGGCGGCGGAGCAGCTCGCCCGGCCCATCGCGGCGCGCGGAACTCGGAGCACAGCAGCCAGCGGCGTCCTTCGGCTAGGGCTCAGGTTGCTTAACTGGAGTCGCGGACTGCAGCCCCGCCCCGGTCGGTCCCCCAGAGTCCTTCCTCCGCCTCGCCTCCGGACCTGGGGGGCAGCAGAGAAGACGGTCATGTGGGCGGCCTCACCGCAGGCTCCTCTGCCTAGAGTGCAGCCGAGTGGGAGTCCCGCGCCCCGCCGCAGGGAGGAGGGCGCGGAGCAGGAAGTCAGAGGGTAGGCCGGCCTCCTAGCTGGTTCTCACCCAGCTCTTCCCCCTTCCTCCTTCCTGGGCGCTGGAGTACGAGGGGGGCTGGATCGGTTCACCCGGCTTGGGACACACGGGGAGGGGCAGAGCCTGGGAACCCGAAGCTCGGAGATGTGGGGTGCGCAAGTCTCTCGGGGCCACTCAGACCCGCCCTCTTTCCGGCTCCCGGGACCCTGCCCCACTCGCCGCCTACCCATCCCCACCCCCTTGTTCCAGGATCTGTGCATACACTGGGACTGGTGGTTTTCCAGTCTCTTTTCTGCAGGAGGTCTATGCGTGGTCTAGAATCTAGATATTCTGCTGGGTTGTCCATGCTTAGAATTCTGTCCACACGAAGCCCGGGGCGGCGCAGAATTAGTTCAAGTGGGATAATAGGATTTCATGGACTGCATGAAGGTCTAGCCAAGGAGACTAGACCTTCCCCCACAACCAGCACGTGGCTGAGCATAGAAGAGGATTCCCTAAGGATGGAGTAAGACACCAGAGGTATTCACCAGCAGGTACCCAGACCTGAGGTCAATTTGGTTAATCTTCAGTGGACAGGGAGAAAGGGAAATAAGGCGGTGGGGGATGGGAAGGGAAATCAACAGAGAGAGCAAGGTTTGGGGAACCCGTTCCAGCTTTTTCTGGGTGCATGGATAGAATTAAAAACTTGAAAATCTGTGTCCATTGTTCTTGTGGCAATGAGACCATTTCACCCAGAATTGGGTTGTCGAATAACTACTCTGCACCCGCTAACAATATCAGCAATCTCAAAGCAACATCTTTGTCCTCCCATCCCCACCTCCCAGGCTTCCCCACCCCCTCCCACAAATAGAGAGCAGCCAGGGTAGACAAACGCTTGGTGGTCCCAGGTCTCCTTTCTTACAATCAGACTTCTTAATGTCTCACAATTTCTGTACCATTGCCACACCCTGAGATCCTTTTATAGTTTCATGTCTTGTCTCTTACTCCTCATGTCCAAACCCACTAGCAAACCCAAAATCTGAAGCTTACTGCTTCCCTACATCCCACCCTGGGGTATTTTTGCTCTCCTGGCTACACAAAGGGTCCTCCAACTGCTTCTTCCCTTACTCCTACAATCTCTTCGCAACATGGTAGCCAGAGGCCTTAAAAATGAAGGTCAGGGGCTGTAGTTCAGTGGGTAGACACTTGCTGCCAAACTTGATGGCCTAAATTCGATCCCAGAATCCACATGGTAGAAGGAGAGGATGCACATCCACAAGCTGTGTCCTCTGACCTGCGTGACTGAAGACACACAAAACAGATACATGTAAAAACTATTTTTGGGGGGGGGGCAGGGTTTCTCTATGTAGCCCTGGCTGTCCTGGAACAGACTCTGTAAAATATGGGGATGCACCTGCCTCTGCCTCCCTAGTGCAGGATTTAAAGGAATGGGCCACAGGCCTATCTTAAAAATAATTTTTTAAAGTCATCTGGAAATGGTGGTACATGCCTTAAAGTCTAGCACTTGGCAGGTGGAACAGGAGGACCAGGAATTCGAGGGCAACCTCAGATACAAAACAAGTTGGACACCAACCAGTGAGTGCTACATGAGGCTCTGTCTCAAAAAAAAAAAAAAAAAGACAAAACAAAACCAAAAAAGAATACTTTAAGTAAATAAATGAAATGAAAGAAGTTAGGCACAGCTTTCTTCGGCTCAAAACCTCCCGAGCACCTGGAACAGTGCCTACGTACGTGCATGGTAGGCGGGCCTTCAATAAATATTGATTTAAGGAATGACCGAGTGAATGAACGGGGCAGGAGTCACAGACTGCTACTCGCCCGTATTAACTAACAACCTGGAACAATCCTCAGGACCAGTTCCTACCTAGTAAAGAGTGCTCCAAACCTGAAATTATGTAATAAACTTTTTCAGCTGAACACACGACTTCAAATTTATCACTCTTAAATCTGTTGGTTCTGGCCCCAATTTCATCCCACGGGTCATTTTGAATATCGATTCTACTATCATCCCATTTCATATTCATATCATCTTCCAAGTTTTGAGTCATTGTAATTTGGCTAAGTATTCCATAGACCTTTAATCAAGTCACTGATAAAAATAATGGGTGTGCAGACGTTGCCTCCAGATCTTGGTTTCTGCACACCACTCCCCCGGGAAAGGAAAGCGGGCTCCTTGGAGGGTGAAAGAGACTGCACAAGGCAGAGAGGACATTATGTTGGTCTGAAAGGAAAGAAATCGACAAGTAATGAGGCTATGCCTAAAGGATACGGGAGACAGTTTGATGACCACTTTGGTCATGTAATGGCTTCTAATGCATCAAATTAAAATACAACCCATTAGTCCGGAGTGTGACTCAGAGAGAAAGGGAAAGAGAAGGGAAGAGAAGGAAACTTCTTTATGGAAAAGTGCCGGCTGGGCAGCGTAGAAATGGAAGATCAGCAAAATCGAGCAAAGATCATGGCTGGGTGTAAAGACTGTGAGGAAACAATGTCTGAGAACCTGTCCCATGGGTGTCTTAGAGTCCAAAGGAAAATGTGTCTCTGCCAAAGAGGTGGTGGTCACCATCTTAGCCATGGGGTCAAACATCATCTGCCATAGGAATGTGATGTAATTGCCCCTCCCATCCAGTGCCATGAGAGAGTCACAGTCTCAACCCAGTGGGGTTTAACCCACATCTAACAATGAGGAGGAAAGCAGATACATCCAGCATAAAAGACATTGAACATAAAAGACTGACTAGCTTGGGCTCATCAAAAAGGTCATTCTTGTGAAGGTGAAAAGATAAAAAAAAAAAAACTAGTTAAAATAGGGAAGGCTTACAGTTAAAAGACAAAAGATATGTGAACCTTGCTTGTATTTTAGAGGGGGAAAATGTGTTAGAGCAACTAGGACACTTTGAATATGCATTTTATATTAACAATAATTTTAAAGTCCTGTGCTAGGTTGAAAACATATTATTTAATAGCTACTTTAATGTTCGTTTTCTTACATAAGAGCATGGTATTTCTTGGGTATGATAAAGTCCCAGGTTTGGAAGATACAATTTGTTGTTTTCAGAGATGATGCACTATGACGTCAGAAACTATCTTTCAAACACACATGTGCAAAAACACACACACACTGTGTGTGTGTGTGTGTAGGTATGAGCATAGCTGCCATAATTTGGTCAAACTATGTAAATATGTGTGAACGTCTTGTACCAGTCTTTTAGTTCTTCATTTAGGGGAAAAAAATTAAGACATGTCAAAACAGTGTCCAGCAGCATGCCAGAAGAAACTTCCACGAGAGTTGAGTGACCAATATTCTTATTTGTTTTTCTAGTCCGGGTTTCTCTGTAGTTTTGGAGCCTGCCCTGGAATTTGCCCTGTAGACCAGGCTGACCTCAAATGCACAGAGATCCACCTGCCTCTGCCTCCTGAGTGTTCTTTGCAGACTGAGCAATTGACTCTATGTCTTCCTCCCTACATAGCTCTGCCCATATTTTTCACCATATTCATAATAATATTACATAAAAATTTTTTTTAAAAACCTGGACTAGGGCTGAGGAGACAGTTAAGTAGATAAAATGCTTAAAATGCTTGTCATGCAGGGCTGGAGAGATGGCTCTGTGGTTAGGAGCACCAGCTGCTCTCCCAAAGGACCCAGAGTTCAGTTCCCAGCACGCACGTGAGACAGCTCACAACTGTCTGTAACTCAAGTACCAGGGCTTCTGACACCCTCACACTGACATACATTCAGGCAAAACACCAATGCACAGAAAAATAAATAAAATACTTCTGCAAGCATGAAGACCTGAGTTTGATCTCAGAACTATGTGAAAACAGAGAGAGAGAGAGAGAGAGAGAGAGAGAGAGCAAAAATACATTGGTAATCCCAACACTGCTGTGGCAGAAGCTCACTGTTGGCCAGCCTAACTTACTTGGCAAGTTCCAGGCCAAGTAAGAGACCCTGTCTCAAAAAAAAAAAAAAAAAAAGTGGAAAGCTCCTGAGAAGTAACTTACAGATCCTTGCACATGCATATACATGCACACCAAACCCTTGTCAAAAATCGATGTTTGCTAGCTACAGCATTTCCTTCTGCTTCCCACCCAACTCCAGAGCAGCGTCTGATCGATGGCTACCTCCTCAATTAGCATTTATTGAGAGTCCAAATCCGGGCATCAGTAGCTCCTAAAGCTGTAGGGGATTGGTCTGCTCTTGTGTCTTGGCAACAAAGGGCTTGTCTGATGGCTGTACTCATCCCTGAGGAGGCAGGGGCTGATGCGGCCTCTCATGGCTGTTAATTATTTCCTGCTCACATGCTTTGAAAGTATGTCTAATGCCAACTGGGCAGCAAGCCCCTAGAGAACAGTGACAGAAGTCTTCTGTCCCCTCCCCCCACACCTAGCAAGACGCTCCAGTAAGAACCACACAGCGCTGTCTCCATGAGGGTCCCCAACTCTTGGCCTGGGAAAGCACCCTCCAATCCATGTATGTGGTACCTTGCTCCTGGTGGGCTCCGCTGTCTTCCGTTAGTGTGCTCTCCCAAACCGGAACAGAAGGGTGACTGACAGAGAAAAACTGCCTTTGAATTAACTTCCTGTAGGCTAAAGAGTGGTTCCCAAGCCAACGATATGTCTCCTGCTCCTCTCTGCCACACTTGGATGTAGGCAAGTGTTTTTTAGCCAGGCGTCAGTGTTTACAAAGAACTCGGGGAGGGGGGGCAGCTTGGAAAGAGAGTACCAAAAAACAGAGCAAGAAAAAAAAAGCAATGCTTCCTCCGTGCCCCAGCCTGCAAGATGAAGTCATCCCCAAGTTGTTAAGTCTGGCCCTCTGTCCACCTTCATTCTTCCTACCATCCTGTCTGTCTGTCTGCTCCCCGCCCCCATGCCACACACACACTCACCAATGCAAAGATGAGAAGTCAAATGTTCATAAGACTACACTATAAAGAAAGCCAGAAAAGCCAGGAGGTGGTGGTGCATGCCCTTGATCCCAGCACTGGGGGGCAGAGGCAGGAGGATCTCTGAGTTTGAAGCCAGCCTGGTCTACAGAGTGAGCTCCAGGGCAGCCAGGGCTACACAGCGAAACCCTGTCTCGAAAACCGAAAGGAGGTGGGAGAAGCAGCAGCAGCTGCTGCCCAGACAGACTTGCCTTGCGCTGAGGGATGTCCGAGTCCAGTGGGCACATGCCTCCTAGGCAGGTGAAGAAACCTCAGAGATGACAGACAGATTCAGTATCTTGATCTGATGTTGGATTTTCAAGTTTGTACACATGTTAAAATGTACTGCGCTCTATGATCTTAGGATCTATGCATTTCGCTATATTTAAGCTCTTTGCTTTTAGAGAGCGGCTCACGTACATAGCCCAGGGTGGCCTAAGACTTCCTCTGTAGCCCACACTGGCCTTGCACTCTCGATCTCCTGCCTCTCCCTTCCCAGTGCTGGGAGTGGGAGTGTGCCCCCATGCCCTGCTCGACGCTTATATTTTATACCTGCAAACACAGGGAGAAGAGGAGAGGGGAGAGTAGGGAAATGGACCATGACTGGAGAATCAAATGGGAGAAGGACAAACTGACAGAACAATAGGAGAGACCGAGGAGAAGCAAGAAGAAAAAAAGGGAAGGAAGGATGAAAACAGAAAAAACAAACACACACATCTGCCCAGGGCCTGGCTTCTCTGCCCCCTCAAGTCAGCCTATCACAAACATTCGCCCTCTGGTACAGCCTCTGCCCAGGTGCAGGAGGAAGATGTCCTTGGGTATGCATGAAACATAATGCCAAAGGGCTCTTGCCAGGCCTGCCCCCTCTGACTCCCACCCAGGGGAGCAGGGCTCTGTGCTCCCTCAGTTCCACTCTGAACTTGTAGCTTTGTTTGCGTTCATGCGGGGGAGGGCCCTCCTGCCAAGCTCAGTGGAGCTTGAACCCAAAGGTCCCACCCACCCCTCCTTGGGCAGCATTCAGGCTCCTCCCTCCCCCTTCCCCCACCCCTGGGTGCTGACTGGCAGGCTGCCTAGCAAGGTCTCTCAGACGTGAACTGGCTGTGGCCCAGCTCCCCAGGACCTGGCTCCTTGCCACCATCCCCTCGTAGCCCCAAGCTCTCCTCTTATGCCAACCTGCAGCTGCGGTTCCCCACCCTGCCCTGGTTAGGCACGAGGCCGTGTCTCCTCCCTAGGGGCCCGGCAGCAACTCAGCTGCAGCAGCGATACATTTGGATAGGAAAGTCACAGCAGCTAACCCAGTCCGTGTGTGCTTTTAAATTGTCCAATGGCTGCCAGGTCCTGGGAGCTGGGCACTTCCCTGGGACAGGCAGCACCCTCTAGTGCAGAGGGCATCCACCCGGGGTGGGCACTAACACTGCCTTCAGCTCTCTCAGACAGCTTCCAACAGGGTCTGGCAACCAATGCAATCAAACAGCCTCACCTCTTCCCCAGACCAGCTTCCTTCTACAGCCCCTAGCTGCGTTCCCCACCCCCACACACCCCTTTAAGTGGTGGAGTTCAGCGGTTGAGCATAAAGTAGAGTAGAATTCATCATGACCCATTATGTGCAGGCCTTAAGAGGACCACAGTCTCTCTAGCTGTGAGCTGCTTCTCCTGTGGTGGAAATACTACAGTACTTTATGACATGATTAGGGAACATGATGAGATAGCACCCATAAAGCCACCTGCAGCCTGGCACGGAGTGAATGCCCTATGTCCCAGACTATTATTGCTTCTCTATCTGAAGGCTGCCCCATGGCCTCAACAAAGCACGGCGTCTTAGAAGCCCCTTCCCTGTGCTCCCTTGGGTTCCGCTGCCTCTTGCAAACACGATGCTGAGGCTGCAACTCTCCTGGGCAGAAGGAACCAGCCTGCCCAGCCCCAAGCCCAGGGTGTGCCTACTGTGGCAAGCAGCCCACCACATAGCACCGCCTCCACTGGGCCTGTTAGGGCCTGAGCTGGCCACTCCCTGGGAGGGGATCCCCCCGCCCTGACAGGGCTGTGGTGCAACCAGCAAGGCTCAGCCTGTCCCTGCCCAGGCAGGGTGAAACATGAAATTGACAGTGTCACTCCTGAGCTCCTGTACTGTCCCTGCCTAGAGGCCTGTCCAGTCAGGGGGCCTAGCCTAGCTGAACCCTGAAGTAGTGATTGTCCAGTGCCCGCCACTCACAGGTGGAAGGCAGGCATTCTGGGCCAGGCGAGAATGGGGTCAGAAGGCTAAGGGCCAAGTAGTAGAGGCTCAGCTTCCAGTCCAGCTTATGAAACCTTGCTCTCTTCTCAAGATCTCAAGTCAAGAGGCCAGGTGCAGGCTCATACTTGTAATCCTTGAGAGGCTGAGACAGGAGGATCACTGTAAGTTCAAAGGCTAACCTAAGTCACAGATTGAGTTCAAGGCCAGCCAGGGCTATTTAGAAAGACCATGTCTCAAAAGAATAAAAATTTAAACTTTTTGTTTTAGTTTTTGGAGACAGGGTTTCTCTTTGTAGCACAGGCTGCCCTGGAACTCACTCTGTAGGCCAGGCTGGCCTCGAACTCATAGAGATCCGCCTGCCTCTGCCTCCCAAGTGCTGGGATTAAAGACATACACCACTAAGGCCCTGCTAGGTTTAAAAGATCTTAAAAACCTATCTCCCAATTTGCCATCAAGTTCCTTCCCTTGTAAATTGACTCTGAGCCCCAAGACCCCTAGCTACAGCCTTTTGAAGGCTGTACTTCTATCCTCAGGGAACCGAGTTTCCACCCCAGAGACTGCCTGGCCAGAGGAGGAGCAGTTTAGCTCCTGTTTCTCTCATCTTAAATCACCCTGGCTGACACTTCTCCCACACAGTCTTGCTCTTGGCTGTCATACTGAACCGAGAGAGAAAGCAGGGACAAGAGTGGAGATAGAAGATGAGTTTTGCCACCAATCTACAACTCCTACAGTGTCTTGACAAGGTGGCCATTCCAAAGAATGTTCTACCATGGCAGTCTGCAAATTTGCCACCCTAAAGAAATGGTATCAGGCTGGGTCGTGGTGGGGCATGCCTTTAATGCCAGCACCTGGAAGACAGAGGCAGGCGAATCTCTTGTGTTTGAGGCCAGCCTGGTCTAGAGTGAGTTCCAGGGCAGCCTGTGTTACACAGAGAAACCCTGTCTGGGCAGGGGTTGGGGGTGGGGTGGGGTGAGAAATGGTACAGTGACACATTCATAGAGAGATGGGATGAGATAGACTCCTTGCAGTATCAGAAAATCCCAGGGATTCTTATTGCCAGATATGGACTGTGAGTGAGATACCCCAGATCTCTGGGGCTTGAGCACAGTCGAAGGAACAAAAAATTCTTGTCAAAGTCTGGGGGGGATGCAACTTAGTTGTTAGAACACCGGCCTAGCGTGTGCTCATATGCCCTACTCTAGGGCAAGGTGAAGAACATTGTCTTTTTTTTTTTCCTTCTGTTATTGTTGATTTGGGTTTTTGTTTTTTGTTTGTGTTTAGTTTAGTTTTGTTTCAAGACAGGCTTTCTCTGTGAAACAGCTCTGGCTGTCCTGGAACTTGCTTTGTAGACCAAGCTGGCCTCGAACTTACAGAGATCTACCTTCCTCTGCTAGGATTACAGGAGTATGCCAGCACCGCCTGGCTTGGTTTTGAGACAGCGTCTTACTATAAAGTCCAGACTGACTTTGAGCTGGACCAAGACAGACCACAAACATACCCCTCCAGCCTCAGCCTCGTAAGTGCTGGAATTATAGGTGTGTATCACCACACCCAGCTATAACCATTTCTTTAAAGTGTTTTCATCTGCAGAAACAGGGAACTTACAAAATAAGCCTTTATCTGGTAAAAAAAAAATCTTTCATTTGGAATAGCTATGTAACCTCCACATGAAGTATTTGGCAAACTCCCCCCACCTAAATCAAACTTGACAGTTATACGGGTAATATTTCCCTTAGCACTGGCTGTAAGTGAGACATTATGCTGATCTTTTCACATTTATTAATTTTTAATCCTCACAGTAGAGGGAAAGCAGAGTTATTGTACCATATTCCCACTACAAGGATAGTGAGCTGCAGAGGTTCAGGGGCATGCTAGGGCCACACGTGTGCCAGGTGAAGTCTTGGGGCCAAGGGATCTGTGGGCTGCAGAACTCACGTGGGCATTGTACCTAGGAACAAAATTTCAGCCTGGTTTTGTCTCAACTTGCAAGCCATCTCCACTTCTGACGATACAAGCTGCTGTCTTTTGTCCCTCCCTCCCTCTCCCATCGCTCCTTCCCTGCCCCTCGTTTTTCATTCATCCAACGCTGTTTCTTATTCTCTGGCTGCCTTCTAAGCATGGCTCAGACTGATGAAATGAACAGAGTTGCTGCAGGCAAGGACTTCATAATTTGTCACGATTCGTCAAATGCTTCTCTGCAGAGTCTCCCCATCCTGGACTCCATGTCTTTAGACACTTTTCATCACGCATCCCTTTGACTTTGGCAAAAGTAGGAGCCAGGGCCAGCTTAGCGGAACTCCAGAAGGATTCCCAGGCAGCACAGACTAGATCCCGCTGTTTTCAACTGATTTCCGGAGTTGCTCCTGGGGCTCCTTCTGCCCGGAGCTCAGGCCTCCATTAAGGTGCTCATTAGGCGGCAGTAAAGCACTCATTCACACACCTCATCCCTCTGTTCCCATCCCTTCCACAAGCTCCTGGAGTGCAGAC